CGGGCCCAGGCCCCCCTCCCCCGGTTCGGGCTGCGTGGGGCCGGGGCCGGGCCCTGGCACGAGGCGCCGCCGCCCCGCCGGGGTTGCAAGGCCGGTCCTCACGTTACTGCCCGCCCCCGGAAGGGCCTTCCCTGATGGAGCGGGTTGGAAATGCCACGTGCGGGGCGGTAGGGATCAAGAGGATCCTGTATCCCCGTCGCTTGGCCGTTGTCCAGCGGGGATAGGCAGCCGTGACACGTCTTCGAGCACGTGCTGTCTGTACCCACCCGGTTGAGCCCTTGGCCTGCTCGATGCTTCCTCATGGCACTTCGTGGGGTTGCAGTTGTCAGGATTTAGGGGCTGGTGGTTTGGAGAGTCTCAAGCCATTTGTAAAAATGGGGCTGTGCTAATGGGATGGTGACACAGCCTGAATGATGAGCCTGTCTGTCCACTGGCAGAAGTGCCCGTGTACCTGCCAGCGTCTTCAAGGCACGTTGTGAAGATTGAATCCCATCTTTTCTGTAGCATTGAAGTATTACTCAGAAATGAAGAAGTCGGGTTATTAAAATACCAATTCTTATTTAGGTCCTATATGGGGAAGGGAGGCAGGCACGATGATGTCTTTTTTGGGGTTCAGACCCACCCAGAGCTCAGTGGTTCCCAACCTGTTTTTTTGTTTTTTCCACGACCTGCAGCAGTGGTGGCCCACGGGTGGGGGAGCTTCCAGCATGGGGCGCAGCTCGTCATTTGTGTGTGGCACTGCTGGCGTTTCCCCCACAACCCTTGTTTGGGTTGCGACCCAGGTTTGGGAACCGTGGGGGGAGGCAGTGGTGGAAATTCCAAAGCTCAGACCTTCCTCGCCTAATGAGGGACTTGGGGGAAGATTGCAGCTGTGTGGGAGTGCTGCAGCGGAGAGGAGACATTTCTCAAGGCTATCCACAAAATTGAATCATTCTTAACTGTAAATTGACACATCACATTCCATCTGAAACGTATCAGAAAACAGCATGTTACAGCATACTGTTTGTATTTGATAAAGTGAAATTTAAAGAGAAGTAGGTGTTTGTATTGCTGTACTTCGGTTTCAGAATGGTTTCACTTCATAGAGAGGGATCTAATCCCGAAGAAACAAAATTGTGATGATTTTTGAGATCCGCATAAAAAACAGGGTGCTTTTTCTTCCCGAGCATAGTTGGCGAAAACTCCTCTCAGTCACTGCCCATACCTGAGCTTTAAGGAGCTGGATTTAATAACATTTGTGGGAGAACACACTGCATTCCAAGGCTTGTCAAAGTTCATCTCAACCATGTTCTTGGTCAAATAAAAGATAACACTCCCTGCCCGAGTCCCTTGTCGCTCACATTTGTAGTAAGAGCTTATGTGACAAATAGTACGTCCACGCTCATGTCAGGGGTGCTGCTATAATCTCTGCTAGTTTTCCTGATGTTTGTTCTGGCTAGATTTGAGCCTCCACCAGCTTGCAATTCTGTTTAGAAAATCCTATGAGTAGTTAAAAATACATCCCTTGTCTTAGATAGCTAATAGTGTCTTCATTAGGTAATATAGTGGGAAAGACTAACACAATCCACAGTCAAGTACTAGTATTCCATTACAGGATTAAGTATTTAAATGTAAGTATTAGTAGTTGTTAGGGGTGCACCGATAAAGATTTTTTTGGGTGATACTGATGGCCAATTAATTAACCAGCCGTATTGGCTGATAACGGTCCAATAGCCGATTTAGAGGAGTGCAACCCAGCAGCTTGGAGAGCAGCCTGCTGCTGGTAAGTCTGGGGCAGTGGGGAAAGGGCTGGGGAGGAGGAATATTGAGGCTGCCACGGTAGGGAGGGAGTGGGGCACGTACAGGTGCTGCCCAGTGAGGGCAGGGCATGGGGTGGAGCTGCAGGTGGCTCATCTGTGCATAAGGGGGATAGCTTTCTGCTGCTGTGCACAACCCCAGGGGAGGCATGGGGGGCATTTGTCCCACTGGATTTGCGTGTAGGGCGAGGGCAGGCTGCCTGCTGCAGACTCAGGGCCAGGGGCTGTGTCAGTCTCTTCTGTTGCGCTTGGGGTGGGCGGGAGCATGGCAGGCTCTCTGCAGGTGGCACTAAGGACCGGATGGGGTGTGGTGGAGGTGAGGCCAGCACTGCTGGCCTTGGCTCCCCTGCCCTGCTCCCTTCAAGTGGCGCCAAGGACAAGAAGTGGGGTGCGGCTGGACACAGGGAGACTTTGAGCTACTGGGCCCCAACTAAAGCTCAGAGGGAGGGAGGAGAGTGGGAGAGGGGACATAGTGGCAGCGCCTTGCCGCTGTCACACATGGACAACAGCCCTGAAGGGGGCAGGAATCAGGCCTGGCCCCAAAGTGACAGAGTCGAAGGTGGGGGGAGTGGGCTCGTTTGCCCCTTCCCCCAACTGAATGAGAAGCGAGGGCAGGGCCGAATGTGGGACTCTGTCCCTGTCCACCATGGCGGGGAGTGTGTCACTGGGCCCCGACAAAAGCCAGTTTGGGGGAGGGGGGCATGGTGACAGCACCCAGCCATTGTTGGGCCCTGCCAAAAGCTGGGAGGGAGTGGGGAGGGATAGCAGGTGGACATGGGCCAGGCAGACCCAGAGCATGAGGGTGGGGGGGAGTGGCACCAGAGTCCGGGGGGAATGGGCCCGGATCGAAAGCAGCGGGAGAGTGGAGGAAAATGGGCCCAGACCCAAAGGGGAGGTTGGGTGGGAACTGGCCCGGATTTAGAGGGTTGAGGGGGGAGCAGGACCAGACCTGAAACATGGTGTGGGGGGCCGGACATAGTCCACTGTCCTCCCCCCCCCCC